TTGTATAAATTCACTGAAGAGGGTCCAAACCGAGGACCAAAACGTTTGATTTGTCAATATATTTTTTAACTGAATATTATTTATTGTAGTTTCTTATTCAATTAAAAATTTTTTTTTATTCCGTCCCAATATTTGACGTTTGGCTCTTTCATTACCCTTTTAATTCTTTTGGATTGTATACAGCAAGAGTTTTTATTATTATATTATTAATATATTATTATTATTATATTATTAATATATTCGAAATTGCACACATATAATTCAGAAAGTCAATCTAATAATTTCTTTATGTTTTTTATTTTCTATTATCGATTAAGTTAAAAGTTGATATTTTTTAAGTGAAATAGATATTTTTTTCAGTGGAATACTATCGACAAAAAATATGTCGATAGTAGTACCACATAAATTAAGAAACTTTCACCATATTGTTACAGCATTATTTTTTAGGATTTACCACTTTTGAATTTAGGAAACAGATTATAATTGACATTTTTCCCTTATTTTTAATCAAGCAATAAACATAAGGAAAGATTGTTAAACATAAAACAATCACTCTGAATGGGCAAAGTTTTGTGGTTACAATTAACTGTAATATAATTAGAATGCTGCGCATTTTCTTAAATTGAAGATTAGAAAAGTTCTTTTATTTTTTGTTTCTCTTCATACAAAACTATTATTTTTACAAACTTCTTTCCTATAACTTTAATCACCTTTGACATAAAATCATAATTTATAGAAATATAATTATATCCGAATATAATTTAGGATGATTGATGAATAAAAAACAGTTTATATAATTATCACATATTTTCCTATAAAATTATATACACAGTGTCCCGCGTAAGGCGTGCCAAAAGAAAAATATAAGTAGAACAGATAAAGTGAACAAAAATTGTAGAGGTCATTTTTCAAACAATCACGTAAAATTTCGAGATATTAATTAAAATAGTTAGGCATATCAGAACGCGGTGACGCGGCAGGCGGGACATACAGCTCGCCGCGGCCGGCGAAAAAAATGGATTGTTCACTGGCCTATCTTATAGGCCAGAGAGGTGAGCCGTTAGGCACACGGAAATGGGTAGCTCCGTGTGTGTGTCCCTGTACGTGTGCGTGTGTGGGTAGGTGTGTATACATACAGAGTAAGTAAAAAGTCCCGGACCGGTGAAGTATCTCGAAAACTAAACATTTCCGAAAGAAATGTTTCCTACAAAAGTTGTAAGGTTTTAAGTAATCTATTCAGTACTGCATTATTTTGCATTTTCTTGAAGTACTAAACAGTTAATAAAAAATTCTGAAAGAATTCTCAAAACTCTATAAGACAAAAATAAGCAATATTTATCTCTTGCCATTTTTCGGTAAAGTTGATAGAATTCGAGTAAGAAATTATTGAAATAATACCAATAATACCAATAATTTTGTAGATATTCCCGCAAGTATCTTAAAAAATAGGAGTCGTATGAAAAATTTTTCGAACAAAAATTATTTGTTCCTTTACGTACAATAAAATTCCATAATAAAAAATACATGTTTTTATTTAAAAAAGCAAAGTTGACCTTTACCTGACCTTGGCGACACCACCCAATGTCAGACTGACCAGATCAGTGAATAGATCATTTCAAACCTTACAACTTTTGTAGGAAACATTTTTATCGGAAATGCTTAGTTTTTCGAGATATTTCACCGGTGCGGGACTCTTACTCACCCTGTATATGTGTGCGTGTGTGTGTGTGTGTGTGTATATATATATAAGTTTTTTTCATAATTAAATTGTAGAAATGTCTGTTTTTATTTGCCGTCTAGCCTTTTTGAAAATTCAACATGGCGCGCCTAATATGGGGGATGGCGATAATGAAACAACTGTAAAAATCTGCGATCTTTGATAATACGGTCGTCATTTAATTTTTCCAAGAATAAGTTTATCAATAATTTTTGAATCTCTGATTACGAATTTGAAGTTAAAAGTTATATAAGAATTTGAAGTTAGAAGTTAGATAAGATTCAAAATAAAGAATCCAACATAGAGGGCCAAAATATTAAAAACTTTCAATTTCATTAAAATTGTTTAGGGGTTCTCGCGGTCGCGCGCGCTGATTATGAATCCGATATCAAATTTTTAGAACAAAAAACGATAGATCCAATATACAAGACTGAAATTTTTTGATTTTTTACTTTTTATAAAAATTGTGTTTTTAGAGTCGCTGAATACGCATTCGCAGTGAGATTTTAAAAATTCAAAATTCAGAATTGAAAATTTTGTAAATATTTCAAAACTTTGATTCGTCACATTGGATCCACCGTTTTAAATTTTGAAAAGCTGGATTTACAATCACTAAACCGAAAAAAATTTTATACATCAATTTGTCATGAAAAGAAAGAAATTTTCAAAACTTCAGTCCACTATATTGTATTCGCCATTTTGAGTTTTGGAAATTTGATATCGGATTCGTAATTAGCGACTCCAAAAATCTCTACATACCAATTTTAAGGAAATTAAAAAATTTTAATATTTCGGCCCGTCATATGGGATCCGCCATTTAAAATTTTAAATATATAACTTCAAATTCGTAATCAGAGACTCAAGAACTATTGATAAACTTATTCTCGAAAAAATTAAATGACTTGTGATAGTACTATCAAAGATCACAGATTTTTACAATTATTTCATTATCGCCATCCCCCATATTGGGCGTGCCATGTTGAATTTTCAAAAAGACGACATATAAAAACAGACATTTCTACAATTTCAATTATGAAAAAACTTAATCGGTCTATACAAATGTTGGTGGCTCGTTTGACAAAGAATATCTTTTATATATAGGGTGAGTTTTTTAACTTGAGACTGCAAAATATCTGGAAAAATAAGCATTGTACGAAAAACTATTCCAAATAAACATTCAATATTTTCGAGATGGCAATACTATCTCGTAAAAATTAGCCGCCTCCCGCCCTCCCAGGGGTTGCGGTGGGGGGTAACATTAAAATTTTAAATAGGAATTATTACTTTTTATCGCAGATTTAGATTCTAAAAACACATAAATTTTGTGTGAAACATTTTTTTCGATTCCTGATCGTTGGCGTTACATTCGGCGAAAATTGATTAACCTTTATTTTCTTCAAAAGGAATCCCCATTTGATATTTGAGGCTTTCGCGGTGACCATGAATATTAGATTTATTTTCCTCATGTTTCATTGCATGAGAATCACCATGTTTTACTGCATAATGATGCTATGTTGAAGAAAAGAAACTTTTGTTGAAAAACATATTTTTTTTTAATTATCGCAAATGTCTACGATAATTTTTAATCTGTTCTTAGCTTTATCCAGAATTAACGATGTGGACGTGACAGAAATTATAATCCCTTTAAGGCGCTTGTTTATTGTAAGTCCTCATGCTTCTCATATTCGGGATGCTTGTTTTCGGTGAGTCCCCTTACCTCTCAATTGAA